AAGACTTAGGCAGAGGGAAACCATAGCTGAATTTAAGGTAAATCACTTTGGTGCACTGTTGGTTCAGCCTGTGGAAGGTAGACCGGAGGTCTACAGAAGTCTGGGCAAGAGATGATGCCTGAACAAGGGTAAAAGGAGTGGTGTTGAACATCCAGGGGACAGACTGGAGAAGTGCTAGGAAATAAAACTATCAGGACAGTTATTGATTGACTGAGTAAAGGTTTGGATGGTAGAAATAGGAGTCAATGATGTCTTACATATATTCCCATTAGATGAATGTTTTATTGAACTTCAAAATTTTTGCTTATGGTAAGGTCATTGATGAAACAAGATTGGCCACGAGTAAATTACTTAAACTGGATGATAGATGCATTATAAGGTTTATCATATTGTCTACTATGTAAATTTGGTTTTTCAAGAGAAGGTTCTTTTAGGGGGAAAACGTGTGTTCATGCTGTTATAGCTGCAATAGGCAAAATAAACAGATTATGCTATGTAATTCCAGTTGTAACCTCTAAACCAGCAGTTTTGGTGGTTGTGTGTTTCGTCTTTACAATAGGCAATTTGAGAGTAATCCATCTCCCAGAGGAGCCAAGATCCATGATTTGTTGCAGATTCAAGTGGACTCTTTCAGAAGAGCTCCAGGGTCAATGAATTCTGTTTAGGGGACTGGAGGCAAAGAGCATTGTTTTTTAAGGGTTATTTTATATATCACATTGAAGCAAACAATGTTTAAATGTAAGGAAACGGTTCCTACTATTTATTTGCTTACAAAGCCCTAGGTCTCATTTAAACAATTTCCTTCATTAACAAATAATGATGATGTGTTTACTATTTGCCTGGTACTATTCTAGACGGGTAGTTCCCAAACAATAGCAGGGGAAAGAATCACCCCGAGAACTTCTTAAACATACATTCCTAGTCACCTCCACCAGAAATTCCTATTCAGGAATTCTGTGGCAAAACCCATCCATCTGTGTCCCTAACAAGCTTCCAGGTGATGCTGATGATGCTGGTCTATGGACCACACTCTTTCAGGGCTGGGGATACTACGCGAAACAAAATAGAGAAAAATTAAAATAATTGCCCTCACAGAACTTATATTTTAGTGGTAGTGGGAGATAGAAGATGATGATAGATAGAGATAGATAGATAGACTGATAGATAGATAGATGAATATAGACGGAATATATATTATGCAAGATGGTAATAAGTACTATGAAGAAAAATGAAGAGGAGAAGGATAGGAAGGGGGAGACATCATTGAGGAGGCAATATTAGAGATTTAAAGGAGGGGAGAGATCAAGCTGGTTAGATTTCTGGGAGAAGAGCAGATCAGAGATAAAATCAAAGTAGGGTCAAAAGCCCTGATGCTGGAGCTTTCCTGGCTTGTTCCAGGATCAGGAAGGAGGCCAGCTTCATGAGGGTGGAGGAGAATACAAGAAGTACAAGGCCAGAGGAAAGTTAATGTACTTGAGTATTTTGACTTGTCACTCTGAAACTGAGAAAGCCAAAGGAAGATTTTGAGCAAAGGAATAGCTTGGCGTGACCCGTCTTAAAAAAATTCATTCTGGCCGATAGGTTGAGACTCGATTTTAGGAAAGCTAAGGTGTGAACAGGGAGACCAGTCCGGAGGCTGTTGGAATAATCGACGTGATAGAAGGTAGCTTGGATAGGGTGGTGCCCTGGAGAAACCTAGAAAACATCGAGGGCAGCTTGTGTTGGCACACTTACCAATCTGAATTTACTGTTTTGCCAAAGGATGCAGGCACTTTCAAGCCCCCAGCTCTCCTGTGACACAAGCCATAATAAAATAGATACATGTTCTTTAAAAGAATTAACCGTTTCTTACTACTCTGCTAGTTCTCCAAGCCCAAATCCAGGTGATGATCAAAAACTCATTCAAACAGCGGAAAAAGGAAAGCTGTGGAGGAAAAAATTTTTTAGAAAAAAGCAATTGGATTCTAGACATATGTTGACGGCATAGTCAACAAAGATGGCTTTAAGATTTTGGTCTGAGCAACCAGAAAGATGGAATTGTCATACACTGAGATGGAGAAGACTACAGGAGGTGTTTGTTAAATCACGAAATATACGACACATGTGTGTGCACAGATGTTGACAAGAAACAGTTACTTATAGAATGGGTTTATTAGGTAGAACGAAACAATGTAAAGAAGAGAGGAACAGGAGCAGAAACTTACATGAGAACTGAATAAAAAGAAAACAAGTGAATGCCTATCTGTTTCAATATACTCAAGCAAACTCAAGTGGACAATGGAGTGAAGAGTAAAAGCAATGATAAATCAATAATAAATCATGGGGCCGGCCCCGTGGCTGAGTGGTTGAGTTTGCGCGCTCCACTTCGGCAGCCCGGGGTTTCGCTGGTTCGGATCCTGGGACATGGCATGACACAGACATGGCACCGCTCATCAAGCCATGCTGAGGTGGCGTCCCACGTGCCACAACTAGAAGGACCCATAAGTAAAAATATACAACTATGTACCGGGGGGCTTTGGGGAGAAAAAGGAAAAAAATAACATCTTGAAAAATAATAATAATAATAAATTCAATAATTCTGCCAATGATAAATCAGAAATAAATTTGATAATTCCACCTGTTTAGTGTAATATCCTATTCCTGAGACTTGAGGGTTGGTGAAGACTATATTAATACTCATTATGATTGTCACTTCCTCCTTACCTAGACAATTCAGGTAAATTTGATAGAAAGGTAGCAGGACCTGGTCTCTTAAAAGATTGTGTGCCCTAAAATGCATTTCTTATTTATAAATGAGGAATAAATCATATCTGTGAATTATTTTTCATTTGTAACATTCAGCCTTTTTCCCCTTCTCATTCTCTGGTGATGCTCTGAGAAAAATAAAATCTAAAATCAAGATTTCATTGAATCACTTCGGCATTTGTGGTCCTGAATTCTAGCACATTATAACACACCCCTCCTCCACCCACACAGCCCACCCCAACAAACCCAAGGTCTCCGACAGCTTCGGAAGCATTCTCAACCTTATTCAAATAGCTGCCTTGGGCCAAGAATGTGGTAAGTCTGCCTTCCCGCCACCAGCCCCCTGCCCTTTGGTCTTTCACTCCGGAGGCTCTTCCCCTAGATACAATGGGACGCGGCTTGGGGGATGGGGTGAATTCGTCCCAGGCTTTCCTGCCAAGACCCTGGTCAGCGAAGAACAAAGCTTCTCCTGCCCGCAGTTTAGAGAGCTGTGGGCAAACTGAGGTAATTTGGTGGGCTTGACTGAACCAGGAAGTCTAGTTTTCCCCTTTTTTATTTATTCTTTCCCCCAGTTTGATTGAGATGTAATTGACATATAACATTGTACTAGTTTATGGTGTACAACATAATTATTTGATAGATATATGTTGCGAAATAATTACCACAGTAAGTCAACACTCATCTAAATAAATAAGTTTAGTCATCACCTCATATTCCCGTTTTTAAAGAAATTATATTTTATTTCTAATGAGACAGGGACTATCTGCCTAAAGAACAATGTAGTTAGTCACCGGCAGCATAACAACATTTGGGTCAACCATGGTCCGTATAGGTGACAGTGGTTCCATAAGGTTGGTACCCTATAGCCTAAGTGTGTAGCAGGCTATACCACCTAGGTTCATGTAAATAGAATCTATGATGTTCACACAATGATGAAGTCGTCTAACAACGCTCTTCTCAAGGCTATCCTCCATCGTTAAGCGACATGTGACTGTATTTCCACCCACCCTCTTCTTGACGTTCCTATTCCAAACTCTATTGCCTTCCAGAATGATAGTCTGAGAAGACAAAGAAAAGGTTACATAAAATTTCATCCCTTGTTTGGATGTGGCAACACTCCTTCGCTCACAAGTTGGCATCTTTGCCTGGTGAACGAAAATCAGCTTGCATGGGAGCAAAGCCAGCAGCTCCAGCTGGAGACCCGCGTAGCAGAGTGCGTGGGAGGATTAGCCAAGAGTTGCATCTTACACAAACATATAACTGGAATTTGCTATGGGTTTACTTTTAGGGGTGGGAGATTGGAAAAAGGGAAGTAAAGTTAGGTTTCTTGAGTGTTGAATTTGGGAATGGGGAAGAAAATTGAAAGCTGTGAACTGTTATATTTGTCCATAAATATTTTAGTGCTGGAACCCAACTCTAAAAACTTCCTTTGGAAGACATAGCAAAAAAGAAACAAATTGACAGAGTGGGGATGGAGTGGCGTTGAAGGACATGAAAGGATCGCCAGGCTAGAGAAGGAAAAGTTAATTAAAGAGCGAGCCAGGGGGAAAAACAGCCAGAAAAAGATGAGAGCTTGGGAAGGAGGGCTAGGAGGGCAAAAATTGATTCTAAAAGGAACGCGTCACAAACCACAACCGCTTGGGCAGGTCTGTTACAGGACGGTCATTTGCCTAGAGGGCGTTCTTCTTTGCCTCCCTCCTTTCACTTGGGTGGATTTACAGGTCAATAAATGCCTTTATTTCACATCTAGTAATGTCCCAGGTAAAACTAAAAGGGGGTGCTTTCATTCTATCATGTTGCTCACTGGATTAAAATAAAAATTACAGCATAAAGGTAATTTCAAACTTGGAGGTCATGGGCGTGGGATCCTAATAGAATTCCTATTAACAGCCACTGTTTGTAGATCACTGACACATCAAATATTAAGAGTACTTAGTGCTTAATTTTCCTTAATTATTACTTTCATCCTTACTTACAGATGAAGAAACTGAGATTTACTAAAGTGGCTGAGCCAAGAGTCTATCCAGAACATGTGTATAAAAACTAATTAAAACTCTTCCGTAGTCATGGTATAACCTCTAATTACTACAGGGCACCAAAGTGCCTTAGGTCCGCAGCTCGCAGCTCCTTTCCTCTGGCTTTTGTTAAAAATAAGATAACAGTCCTGGTGGGGAGACTTGCCTGCCTTTCTGAAAGCTAAAAAACAAGAAAGAACTAAAGTGGGAGTTGAAAACAAGTATTTATTTTTAACATCAACTGATGCCTTAGCAACATACAAAATGTCTTTTATTGTGACCTTAGGGTGAATCAAAGAGGAAAATGGAGCTAGTGGAAGCTTCTGCCTCCATTAGCCCGACTGAGACCCCAAAGGGTCTCAGATCAAGAAATTAATTGTCCTGGTGGGAATTCCAATCACCTGAGGTAGCCTCAGAAATTGGGGGTGCATCTTTGATCTTAAAAGGTGGAAACATGGTGAATCTACAGGTACTCAATTGCTGGGTTTATTTTGTCTCCAGGTTCTGTAGCCCCAGTTGGCTAGTTCCCCACCCAGTCTGGGTTATTCGGCAGCTACCTTTTGCATTACAATGGCCTTGGTGAGACTGGCAGACAGGATTAACTGAGAATTCGCAAGGGTGTGGGTGGGCGTTGGGCTGCCAGGAGGGGCGGGTCTACGTATGGTTGAGCCTTCCTTATAAATCTGGAGCCTCCAAAATTCTTACCTTGAGTGAGAGATTGGGCTGAATGGCTTCTGTTACTGCAGAGGTGACTCGCTAAATCCTGCCTTTTTGGTAACTTCCGTTTGGCGATCTTCGTATTTCTCTAAGGTCTTCTGCCTGGATACTTAAGCCTGGGCCTTTTTTACAATCTCACCCTTTGGATTCTTGCCCTCTCCTTCAACTTAACAGCATGAGTGTGGATCCCGCTCTTCCCCAAAGCCTGCCTTGCCCTGAAGCATCCAATTCCAGGGGATCTTCACCAGTGCCTGAGATTTATGGGCCTGAAGAAAATTACGCATCCTTGCAGATGTCGTCTGCTGAGACACCCCACATGGAGACTGGTAAGAAAAAATTGAATCCTTGAAAGGCTAATTTCCTTAAGGGAAAGAGAAAGAAGGAAGCGGGAGGTAAAGATCATCCATTTCCCTCTTGAGCAATTATAGCCCATTAATACAAGCGGGTGTCATTATTTATTAATCCTCTTTATACCTCTCTTTCAACTGTAACCTGGTGGCATATGCCCTTTCACTTATGTCCCAGGTGTCAGGAGTTTTGGACTGAGGCGAGGGACACAGGAGTCAGTAGTCCAACTGTACTGTATATCTGAGAGTTTACATGTGTGGCCACTGGAAACAAGTGTCTGATAAGTAAGCTGATGTATAAATCTTGGTGCCAGGCACACAGTAATAGGAAATGTTGCTGCTGAGCCACAAGTTATAACATCACAGCTTGGGGGGGTGGGTGCATCATCTTTTTGGTTTGTCTATTCAAGGAGTACCAGAAACGGCTTGGCCAATTATGTGAATCTCCACCTTGTGGAAATGTTTTACCTTTCTACAACAGTAGCAGTTGGCTCCTCTCCCACCCTTTGGATGTGTGGGTGTCATTGGGCAGCTCCGAGTTTGTGAGTGCCTACTATTCTCAAGCTCCCTAAATGCAAAGGAAGCGCTCACCTCAGTTTATGGCAGATAATTCCAGAAGCTTTATTCTGCTGGCAGAGTGACTAGATCTCGGATTTGAGATCCAGTTTGGCTTCAAAACCTATACTCTAGTATTTAGGCCTCCAAATGGTAACTGCGAGTGTGGGGGAAGCTCGGGATACTGTTGAAGCTGCTACCACTTTTTTGGAAATCAATTTGGTAGTAGTTGTTAAAGAGGTAAGCCAACCTTTACCCAAAATGCCAATTTTAGCATTTACAGTATAAAATAATAGCTCAAATCTATCTATATTACGGTTACATCTGTAAAGCTAAGTTGTGGAGAAGGGATAAGTAAAATGATTGTTCTATCTTTCAAGGTTAGATTTTCATGTTACTCCATTTTCCTAAACTTTGTGTTAATGTCCTTTTATAACCTCAAACGTTGAGTATACAGTGGGGTTTGTAAGAGAAATATCTTGGGAGTGAGCAAGTGGGCATGTCCTTATTAGCAAGCCAAGTGTAAGTTTTTATAGATAGCTAATTTTTAGGATAAACCCCACTTCCAATCCTCTTTTTGCTGAGGAAGAGTGACCCCGAGCTAACATCTGTGCCCATTTTCCTCCATTTTTATATGTGGGACACTTGCCAGAGCGTGGCTTGATGAGCGGTGTGTAGGTCCCTGCCAGGGATCTGATCCAGTGAATCCGGGGCAGCCAAAGCAGAGCGTGTGAACTTAACCACTACACCACCGGGCCGCCTCGAATTTGTGCCTTTTAAGCCTGTCTATTTATTCCACTACTAGGGTAGACGTGGAGTTGAGCACTGGGAATGCCTCAGTGCAAATTAGGGCATAAGTGCCTACTAACGCTAGGTAATAGAGGAAATTTTCCGTTACACAGTCAATGTACACAAAGTTCCATGCTAGACAATTTTTATCTATTATCTCGTTTTATCAATGAGGAAACTCTGAAGGAGAAATAATTTTGGAGAAGGGGTCACAGAGTTAGTAAAAAGGTAAAGTCTGGATTGAAACGGAAGCCTATCGAAATTCACATTTCCTGCTAGTCCTGGTATTTAGAACGGGGCAATAAACTGCTGATTTTATCGGGTCCCCAGAATCTGATCATCAGTTTTAAAAATCATGTAGATTGATGAATAAGGTTACAAAAGAAAGTTATGGAGGGAACACAGCAAGTGGGAGTCAAGTGATCGTTTTGACCTTTATGAGCAGCCAGGATGTGGGCTCCTGAGCATCAGTTTACAGTAAAAATCGGTGGTCAAAAGGTTAATATATGATGTTAACCATGTGCATTCTATGTGAAATGGTGACAGTGGTACACTTACCGGACGGTACAAATGTTGGCAAAGCATTCAGGGTCACTTACGAATTGTTACTTACTATCTAGCTCTAAGGTTGTGAGGACTTTAAACGTGCTTCGAAAACAATAAATTTGTAAATGTGATTTAATGTTTGAAATGTTTTAGAGAAAAGCGTCATTTTATTCCCAACAGTCTCTCCTCTGCCTTCCTCCATGGAACTGCTCATTCAGGACAGCCCCGATTCATCCACCAGTCCCAGAGTAAAACCGCTGCCCGCTTCCGCAGAGACGAGCGAGGCAAAGAAGGAAGAGAAGGTCCATGGCAAGAAACAGAAGATCAGAACCGTGTTCTCTCAGACCCAGCTCTGTGTCCTCAATGACAGATTTCAGAGACAGAAATACCTCAGCCTCCAGCAGATGCAAGAACTTTCCAACATCCTGAACCTTAGCTACAAACAGGTAGGACTGTTTTGTTTTGTCATTGTAATAAGAAATAAAAAATAAAGCTAATTTGCAGGTGAGCATTGCTCACATCTTTCTAGGTATTCTGTGTTTATGCACTCTCCCTACAAATAATTTAATATGAAAGTGGACTCTTTTTGTAATGTATTTCATGACCCTTTTTCAGTAAGTGCTCTATTGTGGGACTATGCCATAAATTAGCCACTTTCCCTTATTGCACAAACCAAAATTGTGAAAATGTTTGCAATTTTTCCTTAATTAAAGGAGGAATATAATCCCATCTTCCAGGGTAGGAGAATGCCTAACCAACACTGGTTCTCATTAAAATAAAAACTGTGTATTTGATTACTAATGAGGATAATCATTTTTCATGCATTTATTGCTCAATTTATTCAGTCAAATATTTTATGGGTTTCTATCACTAGTGCCATACTTAGAAAGTCCTCTACCCCATGATTTTATAATATATATATATATTCTTCTAGTCCTTCTGTGATCTCGTTTTCTAAATAGTTGTCCTAGTGGTATATTTCATAATTCCTGAATTAAAAGACCACCATCACCACATTAAATGTAAATGTGCTTATATGAAGGGGGCTTTTTATTGCAAACATATAGTACCTTTAAAGATTTTATTTTTCCTTTTTCTCCCCAAAGCCCCCCGGTACATAGTTGTGTACTTTTAGTTGTTGGTCCTTCTAGTTGTGGCATGTGGGACGCCACCTCAGCATGGCCGGCTGAGCAGTGCTATGTCCACACCCAGGATTCGAACTGGTGAAACCCTGGGCCGCCGAAGCAGAGTGCGTAGACTTAACCGCTTGGCCATGGGGCCGGCCCCATATAATACCTTTAACTGTGACTAATGGCATGGGTAAACCTTATGAAAAGGGAGATGAATAGACATTTAAATGTGAAGTCCTGGTTCGTAGATTTGCAGTGTCTTCTCTAACTGGTTAGGTTTATTAAACAAAAAGCAGCCAACTGACTTGAGGGGCTTGAAAATTCATTCATGGGATATTGGTTCAAGATTTAAGAAAGGACTCTAGAAAATCAAACTCGTTCCTGAACTTCAGATGGTGGTAGTTGTGAGGAAAAAAAAGGTTAACTGTATTGTTTGATCCTTAGCACATCCGCATTACTAGTATTTTATGCTTTCCTGTCACCTTTTTCCTGCAGGTTAAGACCTGGTTCCAGAACCAGAGAATGAAATGTAAGAGGTGGCAGAAAAACAACTGGCCGAAGACTAGCAACAGTGTCACTCAGGTAAGAGGAAACTTATTTTTTCTGCTCTTTCCTTAGGATGACTTTTTAGCTTTATCCATTGCTGAAGAATACAACCCAACTACAGACAATTCTGATTTTCCTTGTACCGTTTCAGTTAACCCACCATTCTTTTTCCCAAGGGCTCAGCAACTACAGACTACCCGGGGCTCTATTCCTACCACCAGGGGTGCCTGGTGAACACTGCTGGGAACGTTCCAATGTGGAGCCACCAGGCCTGGAATAACCCAGCTTGGAGCAACCAGACCTGGAACAGCCAGTCTTGGAGCAACCATTCCTGGAACAGTCAGACCTGGTGCTCCCAAGCCTGGAATAACCAGGCTTGGAACAATCAGGCCTGGAACAGTCCGTTCCACAGCTGTGGAGAGGACTTCCTGCAGCCCCAGATCCAGTTCCAGCAAAATTCTCCTGTCAGTGACCTGGAGGCCACCTTGGAAACCGCTGGGGAAAGCCATAACGCAACACAGCAAACTGCTAAGTATTTTAGTACCCAGCAAATCATGGATTTATTCCCAAATTACCCCATGAACATACAGCCTGAAGATATGTGAAGATGGCTACATTGAATCTCGATTTGGGCAGTGGCTATATTACTTCTAGGATTTTTCTTGATATTCTGCTTCTAATTATGCCCATTGTGTCAATCTGGAGAGTCAGGAGAGTATGACGGATTCTAGAGGGCTCGGTAGCCTTGGCTGCTGTGGCCAACATGGTAACAGGTGTCTCTGGCTGCAGATAACTAGATAGAATACTAGTTTGGATGTCTTTAGGGTCTAGAATCTAATCTCTAGGAAGTAACAGTACAAAGACGGGTGGTGAAGGATTATCCTATTTTCTGGGATTGGGAGACTTTACTTCTGAAAAACCTCACTTGTTAAGGTGAAGGGTTAAGCTATTAAGTGCTTCATTAATTTCCTCTACCCCTTTTGCTCTTTTACTGCAACCCCTAATTTGTTCTTACTCTAGTGCTTGTAGAAAGAGGCTTTATATTTTTGCTGCATCATGATAATAATAATAGAACCAGTTTGGCCAGTTGGTTTATAAGTTTAAGTACAAATAAATAAAATATACATTTTACCTTTAGTTGTCTCTATCTTGATTTCACCCAGTGGCTCAAGGAGTAAAAATTTGACTAAACATGGGTCTTAATTACATTTTTTGAGGTGGGGGGGAAATTAACTGAAATCTTTTAGCTGTTAGGGAGATTGCTATCTTAGAAATGAATAAAGGAAAGGTAACCAAGTATACAATGCTGGGTGACTGATTAACCAAACCTGAACAAAGCTATTTACTCCCTGTGTGTGTAATGTTACTGAAACGATAAAATTTATGGTTATTTGCAGTTAAAGAAGAGTGCCACATCTGGAAAATATGGAACGGAGAAGTGATAAGCAGAGATCTTAGGTTTGTAAAGAGGATAAATGAAGGACAGCCAAGGGGAGAGGCAAATGATGGAAGGTGTAGAAGGGAGCTAAAGGAGGAGGGAAAAAGTGACTTATCTCACCCTGCAACTCACACATAGGAAAGGTTCTGTGACTGCTCTTCTGTACAAACACCCTGCCAGAAAGAACTATGTTGAAACAAGCTTATTTTTAAACATTAAAAAAAATGCGAGCTTTTATTTTTTACGCACTGTTAAATTTGTAGGCCAACTACAAAGCACAATTCTTTTCTTTTTTAACAATTGGCACCTGAGCTAACAACTTGCCAATTCTTTTTTTTTTTTCTGCTTTTTCTCCCCAAGCCCCCCAGTACATAGTTGTATATTTTTAGTTGTGGGTCCTTCTAGTTGTGGCATTTGGGACACCGCCTCAACATGGCCTGATGAGTGGCGCCATGTCCACGCCCAGGATCCGAACCGGTGAAACCCTGGGTGAAACCCTGGGCCGCTGCAGCGGAGTGCGAGAACTTAACCTCTCGGCCACGGGGCCCGCCCCTACAAAGTACAATTTAATGCGTTATCTTAATGTATGAATCTATAACAGTTTAAAAAATTGGATCAGAGACCGATATATAAGTAAATTCTAAGCCTGGTTTGAATTTTTTTTTTTTTTTTTCAGTTTAAACTATGCTCTTAGCTTAGAAGGAGCTAAGCAGGAATCTTATGAAGTATGCTAATCCTTTTTTTTACTGTCCTTACCCCATCCTAGCTTGCCCTAAGTTGATCTGATGGGGAGCCCTCTCATTTCACCACTCTGCCTTCCTGCTCCATGGGAACCTCCAGCCTCCAGCAGCAGCAGAGATGAAGGGAACAACCAAAGCAGTTTTCCTAGTCATTTCCCTCGGTTCCCCCAGTTTTCCAACGTTGCTCTGTAATAGTGTCCAACCCAGTTATCTAGACATTTGACAAAAGAGCAAGTCAGGGATAATTAATTTCTGCCAAGACCTAAGGACAACATGATATTTTCAACTGGCACATGAATTTTGAGTTTTGTGCCAAGCACCATATTATGAACTGAGTAGATAATGGAAACAGTGTTGATTGAGCAGTTAAACTGGCACATGAAATCTCATTCTCTAAGTCACCACTTTTTAGTCTTATAATTCAAACAGATTAAAGTGTGACTAAAAAAACAGAATCTCACTGGTCCTGCCACCTGGCTTTTTTCACTTATATTTGAAATGTATAAGTGAAGGAAAAATTCTTAGAAGAGATTGAAGAACTTTTTTTGTTAAAGATCTGTCAACTTGAACAGTTTTACAAAATCCTTGGCTCTAACTAAATGCACATAATGAATTGACAGCAAATTTGAGGAAATACTAAATGGTGAACCAGAGCCTAGAAATTTGGGAAAATAGCTATTTTAAAGTGACAACCCAGGAAACTCCCAAATTTAGTTCTCCAGTACTGAACCATGCTGTGGAACAATTTTTCACACCCTGGTCTTTGCTTTGGATTAAGTTCAGCTGTAAGACTGGGAATAGGCAAGGAAGGGCTGATAAGGAAGGTTTAGAGGCAGAAAAGACAGGAGCATCTATTACATTTAAAGCATCATGCTAGATGATGGAGAAGAAAAAGGAAAGCAAGTAAGAGAAGGAAAGGAAAGAAAGATTGAAAAAGAAGAAAAGAGAAAGACTTGATTTCTGGTGTTCATCATTTTATTTGCTTTTGGAAATTAGTCATTTATGGAAATGCCATTCATCTATTGTTTCTTATACCCAAAAGGTGAATAGTAAAGGTGAAAAACCTAAGGCAGAGAAAAGTAAAATCCACAATCATCAAGGAACCAAGGAAAGTCTTGATTTTTCAAAAGATTGGAACTTTTGATAGCAAAACTTAGAAGAAACGAATTTAAGCAGCAGTGAAATAATGAAGCAAATCAAGTAATCACATCTATTCAGCACATATAATATGGGTGGTTTTATATTTGAATTGTAATGGATAGTGTAACAATTATACATTCTCTTCTGAAAGCTTTTTTTCCACTCAGCATTACATCTTTAACCTCTTTGCATGTCAGAATTCAGAGATAATTTAGAGATTTTATATATCTATTAAAAATTGAAAACAGTTACATTCAAAAATAAGATTTCCTATTTTCCTTAAATGTATTAGCCAAGGTTGAGATAGTTTTTTTCTCAAATATTCTGTCAAAATAATTCTGACATGAAGAAAAGAGTGAAATTCAGGTAGTTAAACGAGGAGACATTAAGTTTTTTGGTTCTTCCTAACATCTCAGTGTGACTTTGTCATTCCCTTTTAAAAAAGCTATTCATAAAATAACATCATTATGTAAAGTTAACTTTGTTGACATCACTGTTAACTTGGATGTCGTCTTTCCAGACATTTTTATGCGTACACATGACACAAATAGAATTAGAATACATTTTTTTCTATCCAAATATGTAATTATATCACACATTTCGTTCTGCAAATTGCTTTTTCTACTTAATGTATCTTTCCACATCAGTAAATTTAGATCAGACTCATTTTAATTGCTGTATAATACGCGTTACTGTACTGCAACTTATTTCTGTTTTCATTATTTGCCACTGCAAATTATGTTGCTATTAACTTTTGCATTATTTAAACATGTTAAGACATTTTTCAAAATATGAAAAAAATGTTTTCATAAACAGAATAGGATTGAACTTTAAATTCACACTTGAAATTGCACACTACTTTTGGATTGGCCATTCCTTTGGTTCTTGCTGATTTCACACCTACCACTGGCTAATTTACTAAAGCACTAATTAGAAAATACTGTTAAAAAAATTAAGAAAATCTATATGTTCTTTAAAACTTAAAAAACAGTTAATACCTAAAAAGATTAAAGCATTAAAGCAAATTTCAGAGCCAAATTTACTATCTGTGTAAGCCACCATAGAAGCTGGAAAAAGTTGTCAAAAAGAATTAAGACAGGTGCAAACCCCATTTAAAAGTTTTGAGCTTATACCCTGGTCACAGGATCACCAAGAATATTTAGTATAACAAAGGGAGATGAGGCAAAAAGGGAATTAAATATAAATTCACCTGCCAGCCTCTCCATCTTCATATCCCTTCCCTTGGAATATCGTGCTCTCTCCATTCTCCCCAAAGGAGGTGGTGATTACTTCCGATATCATATTTTGGTTACTTTATTATGAATTAGCTTTTAAAATTCACTTTGTCTTGATTTTCAGCTTGCGTCTCCGTTTCAGTTTGTACTTGAAGGGAAGAAGACTGGATTGAATGCGTTTGGGTCTTTGAATTTCACAGTCTGGATTCAAAGCTCAGAATGGGAGGAATATAGGCTTTGCTTAGTGAATTTCAAGCACTCAATTCTCGGGAGTAAAGGCTGCGACTGTGAGCCCAAAGGTAAAGGCAGACAACCGCCAGACAGGCATGAAAGTTGGGGGAGGACCTTTAGTAAATATTGCATGCCTCCTGGGGCCAAGCGAGCCTGCCTCAAGCAGGAGATACAGGGAATTTGTTAAATAAAGAAGCCATTTGGGGCAGACAAAAGCTTCTGGCACAGGAAGTTAGTTCGACTGAGGATACCGAAATGTAGGCATTTGAATAGGTTCCTCGGGGTGTGAGGGTGAAGTGGAACCTGATTGAAAAGAAGCAGCCGCTGGTGGCGAGGCTCTCCTTAAGCGATTCCTGGTTTCTAGGTAGTTGATGTAAACTCCGGGTCCAGGACAAAGTGTCCTTGAGAATTTTAAAAGGTTGAGCACCTGGGAGATTAATGCAATGGTAGCACTACCTCCAAGTATACTACCAAGCAAGCCATCAAATGGAAAAGCTCACAGATCAAATTAAGATGCTAGAATCATTAATTTAACTCACATGGCACAAAGCATGGGGCATGAGATGGGGCACACTGATGCACTTAGGATGTGTACAGTGCAAGTGGGGTAGGAAGGGTAGCAATATTCATACGACCTCTCTGATGCATGATATGGTTACAAAAAATGAGGACAAGGACTGAGGATGAGAATTTGAGATTGAATTAGGGCCAGGATTCTGCAGAAGGAATGTACCAGGACACAATCGCACCGGCTTGCTCTATGAGAGGCCCCGAGGGCAAGACTGGCCACAGAAGTAGCTCTCCTTAGCTTGATGAGCACCTATAGAACTTATTTTCACTGCTTGGGCAGAATACATGTGGGCTAGAATGGATGTCACCAATGGCTGGCCAATTCCAGAGTCAGGGATGTTGAGCGCCTTTGCCATATAAGGATATTTAGTGTGAGACTAAGTGTGAGGTGCTTCTAGCTGCTTCCATCGCTTTGTGTCTTGTGTTCTGCGCACATGTACTCTGCTTATCTAAATCTACCACGTAGTACCGGTCACTAACTTATTTACAGTTAATACGCCTTATGTGTTACATAATTTTCGTTTTCTCTTCCATAGTCAAAGTGAACATTCTCAGACAGTTCAGTAAACACACATTACACCAGATTAACTGCACAGTTCTCGTCCTTTCTGCAACTCTCAATCTTCCCTGCTTCTTAGCCTCCCCCAGATCCCAGATCTCATTTAAATCTCATATCCTCCCTCAGTCACTTAATTCTACAATCATACTTAACATTCCCAAACTGCGTAAGGCTTTGCAGATTCCTTCAGCACTTTCCAATGAACCATTAAAAACTGTCCATCC